CGACGCTTCCTTTAACTTCGCAGATCAGGGAACTGAAAATTAGAAAACTTCAAATCGAAACGCATTCACTCTTTTTCCGTAGATTCCGCGGCATCTCCCTGAATAAACGCGGCCTAAGACGCGAAGATTTTGTAGCAATTGATACGCTTGTTAGTTGATGGCAAGCAGTGACATCAATACTCTCGTTTACAACTCATCACCTCTGGATGGAAGCTCAGGCTTGGGCGATAGTCAACCCGAAATTTGCTTCTCCGGTTGGTGCCACGAAACTAGCTTTCTACTCCACATGAAGGTTCTGGCGCGTTTTTTTAACTGTTGCTGAGATTTAGTTCGAAGAGGAAAGTGAGCCTTTCACTCTGTGGAAATAATTACGCACCTTACCTGTCTGAGGCGGAGGTGCAAGTGGCACCCACCAAGGCAAGTTAGGGTGGATTCCTGTCGGCCTCTGTTAGCTAATCCAATCCTCCTACCTTCTCTGGACGGTGAATTGGTACCATGTTCGCCTTGAAGGATAAGAACGCTTACCTGTACATCGTGCCGCGCAGGTCATTCTATAAGCCACAAAAAGAAAAATACTACGATTCTGCACTGAAGTAGCCGCATCTCGAAAATATTCGACGGCGATGATTTTATCCTTTATCCTTTATTTTAGCCGATTTTATCCTTTATCCTTTATTTTAGCCCTATCTATGGTCTGATTTTCCTCTTCAAATGGCGACCTGGAGAGGAGCCGATCGGTGAACCTGTTGACACAAACAATGTGTTTTTCGCGCAACAGGTGCACTTAAGATCAACATTTTTATTGTTGCTTGGATTCCTATGTGTTTTTGGACTTTGAATTTTCTATTTGCACTACTCAGGTGATTACTAATGCATGTGCAACTCAAGCTATCATAAACCTCTTGATGAATGTAAATGATCCCAAAGTGAAGCTCGGCTCCGTGCTCGAGGAATACCGTGATTTCGCCAAGCAAATTGATCCTGCTGTGAGCGGTTTGAACGTGAAATGGTTTTTACATACATACGTTTATATAGTGATCCATTGTTCAGAGCAGAGGTTTGGTTTTGTCCAATAGCGAGAAAATACGTCAAGTGCACAACAGTTTTGCTCGTCCGACATTTTATGAGCTCGATATCAATATGCCTCCATCTGAAGACAACTATCACTTCATAACTTTCGTACCTGTGGGAAACAAAGTAAGTTTTCATGGTTCTGAAGTGCTGAGTGCGCAGCGGTGCGGTAAAAGAATGCAGCAGCCTTCTGAGCGTCTGTCATCGTTTTGAAGGTTTTGAGCCGCTAGAGAAGTGCGGGTATCGATGTAGCGTTTTGAGCGGACGCTGGTGTTTTCAGCGATATAAAGCACGATGATAGCTATACTTTTTCGACGCTCAAAACGCTAAACTCATACCCATACGTTTCTAGCCGCACAAAATGCCGGTGTACGCTCAAGAATGCTGGCGCAAAGTACGAATGTATTCTGGTATTTTCTATGCTTTATTGTGACTCCTTATTTCTCTAGTTCTATATTAGTGTTACACATTTCTTCTTCCTTAAAAATGCACTGCTAATTTGCTTCAATTTCCGATTTACGAGCTAGATGGACTTCGCGAATTCCCACTCGAGGTTTCTATAATCCCTGAGGGTAAGACATGGATGGAAGTTATTAGCCCCATCATCACTGAACGAATGCGTAGGTCAGTCCAGTATGCAGCTAGGTTCTTTCAACTGTTTATGTCTTTTTATATGTTTCTTTTAGATTTAATGATGGCGACATCATGTTTAATCTCATGGCTATAGTTGGAAATATGATGGAGAAGTACACGAAACGAAGAGAAGAAATTCTCGAGGTATCAGCAGCAATTCTCTTCTCTGGCCACTTCATATAATTCGATGTTCTTAGGGTAAAATCACCTTCCCTTCCACGGATGCAATGTATGATGAGTTAGCCATTGTGGAGAATAAGATCGACGAGGAGGGACACAAAATTGATACGTGAGTCACTTTTTTACGTCAAACTAGGCCGTTATACTTTCGCCACTTCAAATGTTTCCTGTTCTGACGGGGTTCTCATCAGCCGGCATGTCAACCTGAGCCTGACGGGTTTGTGCTTCGGGAGATATCGCACTCGTGGCTCAGAGTGCGGACAAGAATCTACACTAGCTCAATCACTAGGCAAGAAGAAGATTTGAACCAACCCGTAACTGATGTTTCTATCGGGGATGCTGGTGTATTCTCTCACCTGCAAACTGCGTTTTTTCATTCCCCCAGTTCACCACGTTGGTGGCGTTTTGGAAGTAACTGGCCCGAAGTTAATTGAGTTCTTAGAAAGAAGAGACGTACAAGGTGTAAGATGACTCAATTGGACATTTCGTTCCCGCTTTTCCTTCTTTCTCAAAGCTGGATCTCATAGAGCGTGTGTGGAACGTTACATCCCTGTTCCATGGCTTCACACAAGCTAGCCAGTTGACTCGGTAGCCTGGCACTCGAATCGCTTAGGTTTCAGTGCGAATGCCGTCATGTGACTCCGCTTGCGAACGTTGCCGCCACATCGTGGATTCATCCCACACACTGCGCCTACAGTTCCCCTGTTCTTAAGATATGCTCCGGTTGCGCAATGACCTCGATTGTACATGCAGATAAGTATCACGCTGTGACGGACCATGTTTCAAGCAGGTTCCAGGCATACGAAAGTGGTTTTCGCGTTCTTACTTCGAAATTGAAGGTGAAAAGTAAAGGGAGTATGAGCAGCACTGCAGTGTCGTTGTCAAATTAAGATACAAACCGAAATCGCGTGCAGCTGATGGCCTCAATCAGTCAGGGCGACTCCGAGAGGGATGGAGTGAGCCTATCCGCGGCGTTCTCGCCACCGATAGCTTTCTTCCTGTATAGATTTCCAGAGCTGGCTTGAAAATTTCAAGTTTACTCTTGCCTTGTTTGTATCTGAAGTTCGTACAGTTTTAGGTACAGAAGAGAAAATGCTCGACGTCGCCATAATTATTTGCCGTTTATTGTCGAGATATTGCGTATTCTTGCAAAGGAAGGTCGACTAGTACCAATGGTTGAAAAGGTATGTGCACGTGCAGCTTTGTAAGCTGCGTACTCAACAATTCTGTGAGGAAAGCTGCTGTTTGGAGGGATTGATTTCCTGTGTTTTATATTACATGGTGCATTAATGGCGCAACATGAATAATGACGGGATCGATTTTTTAATTGAAAAGTGTTGATTTTGATCGTTCTGCAACCATTTTAATGAATTGCTAAAAATGCGCGCATAACGGTCTCCTTTCTCCGACGCGCTTTTGTATGCGACCGTGAAGTTTTTGAGACAAATTGTGGCTTGCTCGAAATGTGGCGGGAAGCGAAGTTGTTGATGATTTCAAAGTTCTTTCTGAAATAACCTTTGCAGTTTTACAGCACCACTTACAGTCTTGTTCAGTGCGGACTGTCAGGGGGATGGGTTTGGCGCGGCTCCAAACTCGTTTTCCGACAGTTTGAAGCGAGCAAGCAAACACTGCATTACATCGTTCGTATCTGTCTTTCCCCACAGACTATTGTCACTTATCCGCTTCAATAACTCCAGAAGAACGAGCTGGCGTCGCGCCAAACCTAGCTTCACTGACACGCCCTGCCATCCGCAGCGAGCAAGACCGTACTCTTAGATTTAGGGGTGTTTGTTCAATCGGAACATGGTTGTTTTGGTGATCGATTTCACATGCAACATTATTTCAGGCACAGTTGAACGCTCGGTCGCGGCTGAAGCGTGAGAACAAGCAAGCACAACAGAACTGAATCATTCTTCTCTGCTCAATAAGCAATACTACCTGAGAAGCATTTTATTTTTTTCGTGAAGCGTCTTTTCTAAATGCCTTTCAAGTTTGTCTCGCTTATTTATGTCGTATTGTGACCACTCACCATGTAATATTTATTAATCACAAAATTCTCACTTGTTCTGAAAATGTCTGAGAAAAGTGATGCGACCAAGTTTGCTTCAGTCGCTTTCTGCACTGCTTCTTTCGAGACGAATACGCAATAGTAATCGGATTATGAGAAGTTTCGTCGGTGGGGAGTGGAGTGCCGGACTTTTATCATCAGAAAACCACCTTCTTGTTTTCTCAGTTCTTTCGTTTCATTGCAACTGTCCAATGTGATAATGGGTTTACTACTGATTATAAACGGTCCATAATATGTATTCGGAAGATTGATGAAGGATTAATGACTGGAAGGTCATTCCGCAAATATGTTCAAGCTTTCGCATTCTACCTCAGGATTTTCATTTTGGGTATGAGGTTTTTCTTAGACGAAAGCGAAGTTGCTTTCGACGCCCCTTTGTTTCTGTGAGACTGGGAAGTTCACGCTCACAGGACTATCTGTAGACCAGTTAACGGTTTAGATTAGCGCTGCCCGCTCCTCTATCTAGCACATTTTCTTGAGGGCACGTCCACGCGCTGAGAGAGCGTGAGTTGTGCTGTGGAAAGAATGATGGAAAGTGGATCCGCTCATGTGGAGGCGCGGCTTGCATACTGCATAATGCGAGGGTCGGAGCAAGGTGTAGTGGCGACATTAGGGCGTATTAGCTGTTTCTCTTTATCACCTCATTCTCACCATTCGGAATGCAGAGACTCCACGATCGGGAAGCCTTTAGGAAAAGGAGTTGGGTGTTCTACGTGTGGGCCGTCCGCCGCGTTGCTTCTCGCTCGGGTATTTGTATTACTATTCCGTTGGCTGGTACACACGGTATACTTTAGGACGTGAGGATGTTAATCAGGACGAAAGGCGTCTCTGAAACATCGAATGGTGCTCCACGCACGGCCTTTTTCAAAGCGTGTCTTTCATTACCATTACAGGTAGTTTCCTCTATTTTTTAGTTTTCTGCTAAGCATGGACATATTTCAGGAACAGTACGAGCATGTTTCCGTTTCGTGTCCCGAATAGCCTATTGATGTGAGACCGTTTCCGTATGGTTTTCCTGGTAGGGGTGCGAGTGCCTATCCGTCTCTGTCCCCAATAGCCTACTAAGTCCGTTTGCATATGGTTTTCTGGTAATAAGGAACCCATTGCTTATAGTTGATACCACCGTTTACAGTCGGACGGAGTCAAGAGGAGAGGAATAAGCCCGCTTACTGCTGTATTTTACCAGAGAAAAGGCTGATGCCAGGCAAAGGCCGAGGCCCAGCCCCGACTGATTGCAACGGTATCAACTGCACAACAATGCACAGAGCAACAATATCATCAGTGCTGTGGGACCATATCCACAGTTTGTCGTCTGGAGGCGAAAATCCGAGGGGTCAACGGTAAACCTTGTCGAAATGAAAAGTTCATGGATTGCAGTTACCGGATTGCTTCTGGGAGAACTCCGGTGCAAAGTTGGGAAACGGAGCGGGTATCTTGTGTCGACGCTCACCACCCTGCCTTGCTCATAGGATGGAAGGATGTCTTGGTAGATGGGTCCCCGACCATGATACGTTTCTAATTTCCAAGTCTTCTTGCAGTCAAACTACCCATATTACTAACTACTGATTAAGATTAGCATACCTGCTAGCCCGCCACGAATAGATGAGGAGAGGGCACTTTATACGAGATGTCTGGGATCCGCTTCAAGAAGAACATGAGGTGATGCTATTGGGACGTAAAGGATGGTGACCGAACCAGCTAGAGCAAGGGAATGCAATCACAGCTGATGTATACTGAAGGCCTTCCTGGTCGCTCACAACACCATAAAAAAGATCATCAGGGAAAGGGTACATTGTTAGAAAGCGCTCGACACCATGTTGGCTGTAACACTCACACTCAGCTACAGGAGCTGGGATAGACTACGGTGCCACACTCGCATACCCGTCTGACCTTACTGTTTTCACTTCCATTTTGTCATGTCACGCTAAGAATCATTTGAGAGGAAAGAAGGTTCAACACTTAATAACGTCTAATGGGTGGTCTCTGGTCTCAGCGGTCAGCATAAAGGAACATTTTCCTTCTGAGAACGTCACTACAAAATCATTCGTACAAACAGGGAGCCGCGTATGGTTGTGTTTACAGTATTATTTGATGCGGATGAAGAGGCGGGTCAGGCGACGTGTTCGGCGCGGCGCCAATGCCGTTGTCCACAAGTTGTTGAAGCGGGTAAGAGAAAACAGTCAGTGAAAAACGAGTGATACGAGCGAGCGAACGATATGGTGCAGTCTTGTCGCTTGCTTGCTCCAATAACTGATGGAAAACGGCTTGGCGCCGCGCCAAACCCTTCACCTCACACGCCTCTTCATCCGCGGGAAACAGGACTGTATACCTTACGACACTGAATCGAGGAAGAATTTTGTATGTGTAGCGGTTGACATCCAATAGCTAACGTCGCAATAGTTCTACTATTCAGCATCGGAAGTTATGAATGCAGTCCCACCAGTCGCTCTTCCTTCTACTAAATGCTTTCCGGGTGAGAGTTATTAGCGCTCATGCCCCGCTTTGTTTCCTTCGTTTAAAATGTGGTGGTTGATTCGTAACCGTTTCGCACTCACTAATTCACCAGGAATGAAGAGTGAGCAAAATCATTCATGGCCATCCAAGCGTGTCCTTTCGGAGATCTTCGGTTCTGTATTGCTTTCAGTCTTCCGTAGCATTATGTTGAAGTGCCCATTTTGTGGCCAGTTTTCAATTACTTTGAGTCCTCTTTGCAGTGCTGCACTACGGCGTCAAGGTGTAGCCCTTCTATTGACCGCAACCTTATCAGTCGAGTCGTCATTTATGGTCTCCCACGTTGCATAGGGCTCTCACCTTAGCGATGAGCTCAACCAGCGTGCTCATCTTGTCGCTTGTCGCTTCAACGTTGGGAAATGATTTCCAAATAGATCCAAATGGATATGTCGTCTTTTGCCCGTGTATGGGTGAGTGTATAACCTCTTTGATAGTTTGAGCGGAAATCAAAGATAGGATTGCTTTTACTGACAGTTTCTCTGTACTTCAGGACGATTTGGGAATCAGGTCGACCAACTACTCGGAGTCATGCAGTTTACCAAATATCTCGACAGGACATTAGTTCTTCCAAACTTCATCGAGTACCCCTACCCGGATACGGTTCGCTGTAGCTTGAAATTCCAAATGCGAACGTTAATCTTAAGACAGTCAGTTTCCTTCAGGTCATGGTACCGTTTGAGAGCATCTTTCAAGTGACTGAGATCAGGAAGTACCTAAAAGCAATCAGGAATGGTAGCGTTCCAACGTGAAGTAATGCCCAAGTTATGGCCAAAGGAAAATAGAACTGGTTGGTGGGTTGTTGTGGTGTTAGTATATAATTATTTGAAATTCATAAGCCGAACTTGTCTTACGTTTTTCAAACCTCACATTTCAGTCTTTATATGCCTAAGGTGACTTGGTGAGAATATTATTAGATCTCTATTTGTGGTTAGATCGCTTTACAACTTTACATTTATATGATCTGAATTGCAGACAATTGTAACCAAACACTCGATTTGATCGGGCAGTTTTGTATGCTAACTCCTTACCAACGGGTTGTGAAAAAGACGTTCACCCCCGTGGTGTTCACATTTACCGCCGTATATGTTTTATTGAGCGTTTCTTTTCTGTCAAACTGTTTTCAACCATCCCAATACCTATCAATAATATCTTCTGGTCGAGTTCAATCAGGACTTTTGCCCGGGCTGCTTGTAAATGGCAAGTCTATTGAACTTTCTATGAATAGAAAGGGGAGCTTCCCAATTTCTACAGTTGGCGAACGACTTGCTTGAGGTACCTGACAGACAATTTTTCGTGACTCATTGTCAGAACATTTGTCACTATATCCAAGCTTCGTTCGCTCCCCTCGGTGCATGTTTGATCCTTTTTGTGGTGGAAATAAGGCAACCTACACAGCGCAATTACGCGACTCAACGATTATCCGAGCTTATCCTAGACGTAATTTTCCAACCAATATAAGTCTATGAGTCTACGGTCTCTCAGCACTAACCATGAATCTATGGTCACTCCAGTTGCGACTCGAAACTCGATGAGAGGTCGACATCTGGACATCTTTATCATGGAAACTGCTTCATTCTTCCACAGTGGCAGATGATCTAAAGAAGGGTTTCATTTACACGATAATCATGATTCTATTCGGACTCGGGACTCATGTCCGTCTGCTGCGCACCTTTCCGATTCCGCTCTTTCGGTAATCCAGTAATAATCGAGCAACTGAAAAACTGACTATTTGACATGAAAGGTCAGTCTCGTCTTCGAGTCGACGTTCATTATTAACCTACAACTTTTCTAGGTAACGTCACAGCGCATAGGAGGTCTCATTAACGGTTAATTATGATATGCTGGAAGAATCCAGTTTCCCACCCATCAGCTTTTGACTTGTCATCCCCGCATTTATGGTGAGCGCTGTTGAGAGGTACAGTGTTATTCGCTGCGGATAAGTGGGCGTGCCGACGTGGCTGGGTTTGGGGCGCAGCCAACTCGTTTTCCTCGAAAATGAAGCGACAACAACTGGTACCAAGTTGATTAGAGCAGGTGGTGGTGGTCACTGCTCACCCGTTTAAGCATCTTGTGGAGTCTGATACGATGTAATGCAGCCCTGTCGCTTGCGGAAGGATAAGAAAAAAAAGCTGACGTTACACCAAATCCATATTCCCCTGGACGCCCTATCACCCGTTATTGCGCCTTGCAGAGTGGATTTAGTGCGTGAAACTGGCAACCTTCTGGAAGTTGATTAGAGCAGGTAGTGGTGGTCACTGCTGTATCGGTATCCAGCGGTGTCTCTTTATTCTTTCTTCTCCGGCAATAGCAGATCTTTCTTTCGAGGATCTGTTTTTTTTGGTTCTGCAAGTGCAAGGTTTTCCTCCTTGTGAAATGTAATGGTACGGGCATCATCTAGGCAGCTCTCTCGCCGACCACTGTATTTACAATGAAGTCCTTCGAGAATGTACAAAGAAGAAGAGACTTGGCCACAGTCATCGGTTCGCCATGGCGGATTGATTTGATCCATGTGGTATTCATCGTGAAATGTTATCCTAAAAAGGAGATGACGATGTTCCAGAGCTCTTATATGAGTGCGCAATTAGAGTTGCTACCAACCTACTGGTGGCTGTGGTCAGCTGTGTATGCAAGGCGCTGAGTAACCGGTTGTCATTTCTTTCGGATAACAATGATTGCATGATTATCTTCGGCTGAATACAGCCCGCTTTGAACGAGCAGACAGACGCTGCAGGAACCCACAATATTATAGAACGCGCCGGAGTGTAGTGCGATACAAGAGAACAGTCATGCTCCATGATCTTGCCTGGGTCCTAGCAAGCCGTTCTTCTGGAACCTTCAAGGTTACTACGATGATCGCTTGTTTATCGTTCAGTTTATGTTGCTATTTTTTCTACACATATTTATTCAAAGTGGTCAGAACTCTCCGTGCAAGAAGTGTAAAGCACCCGAAATTGAATGGTCCATTGGAAGGTCTTACTCATTCTACTTACCCTCAGAGCTACAGCGACATTCTGATGCGTGTTACCATGCTTAGGGGTTCGCACATCAGTCTGAAGCGATGGCAAACATAGTTGGTCCAAGCGGAATTTGGTCTCTTCACCGAGATCGACCAGGACCGACTATCCCTTAATCTTGGCATGGTTGTGATGTCAATTTAGTAGTTCACTTGAGCCGACCAAGATTGTTAACATTTATTAGGCCAACGTTTCGGCTTGTTCGCCTTCGTCAGAGCCTGAAAGAGTCAAAAACAGATGTGACTTGTTCTCTCAAACGCCTAACTAAAACTGAAGACCATTTCGAGAAGCCGGTAAACCACCTAACTGTATCGGTCAGTAAAGATGACTTGGCTTACCTTGATCGCGGTGACGCGAGATGGACCACCCAGGCTGTACTGATGCAGGGTCGAGGTTGAGGTCGAAGGGCGGAGGGGCAGTTCTCACTTATTGCAT